GGTCTCCTTTTAATCCCTTCAGCATCCTGCTGAAATCAAGTTTATAAACAGAAGTTTGAGAATGGATCAACACCAACACTGTCAAATATCTAAGTCAACAGTTTAAATCCTTTAGTCTACTTCAACTTTCTGAATCCATAAATTCCTCTATATCCCTATATTTTACAAAAGCAGTTTCACAATATGTTAGTTATGCGTTTTTCTCCAAACTGTGTATCTTTAAAGAAAAGCAAATGATAGCATCAGAAATTATAAGCAATTAGAGTTACTTTTCCAGGCAAAGCAGAGATGAAAGGCAATTTCTTCCTATTAAGAAATAATTGATATGTGCTCTCAGACTTAGTTATGAATGTCCAAGTATATCTTATATAATGTAAATTTCCTTCTAATTTTTTCTCTCTTGTAAAAAATGACAAGGCAAAATATTTGACACACATCTATTTTAAGTGTCCCTTTTTTGCTATTTGTATGTTACCATTATTAAAGGATTAGGTCATATGAATTGAATTTGTACAATCTTATCTTTATATAACCATTTCATAAAGACTTATTAAAAAGAACTCATTTCTAAAAGATGAATATGGTTTTAGTCATATTCCCCAGTCTTAGAAATGGGCACAAATGTTAACGTGAACACAAGATAAACTAAATTCAAAAGATTGTAATTATTTCACCAAAGCTAAAGTTGACATGTACATAACATAAAAATAGGGTTTTAAATATGTAAAGAAGGAAAAGTTCAACATTCTTTTAATAATCATCTATATGTCAATAAAAGTAGCTTTATCTATTCATTTGAACTGACTATGGAAGATTTTTACCTGGAAGCACTGTTAAGACCTACTTAAAGTTGTATGAAAATAACTGAACCATCTTCTACTTATTTTTTTTCACTAAGTCAAATTGTAATTCCTCCCCACTTAGCTTTTTAGTGAGGCTTCGGGATATGTAGATTTCTCTACTTCCTCCTTTTTTTCTTTAAAATTAAATCACCATGCAGTCCATTACTAGAGTATTATTCCTAAGTAACAGATCATGCCTGAAAACCCCACCTTTTACAGAAATGTTTTTAACTAATATTATTAACAGCTTGAATCCACAAAATCTTCTCAGCTACTCTCCCAAATCCAAACACAACTCCTGTCAGTAAAACATGAAAAAATGAGTTTGTGGGGGAAAATCTCTGAGGTTACCATTGTGTTTATCCCCTTTGGTTGGCAGAATAAGGTAGCATGAAATGCCAACTCATGATTTAAATAAACCACTGGCAAGGAAGGCCCTGGCTGGCTGCAAGTCAGTTCTCCAAATCAGCTCTATTCATATATCCTTGCTAAGCAGTGTCTTTGCAGTTTTCAGAATAAGATGACACAAATGACAGATAGATTCAGAGATAATGAAATCAGCTAGTTTACGAAAGTGACAGGTAAACCTTTCTGAAGAGAAAACAATTATTTCATTGAGATTCTATCTTGAAACATTTACTAGTGCTAAAGTGATTTAATTTCACTTATTAACTTCAAGACTAAAGGTGTCTTTATTTTCACAGTATAGATACTGTTAGAATTGCAGAATAAAACTAGGATATTAAAAAGAAATTTTGGTGGAATTTACTTTCATGCAGCTCCTTCCTAGCAGTTCAGTAAATTGCCATTAATTGATCATAAAGTGAAATTCATTTCAAAGAGAAGTTTTGATACTCCTTCTGCCCAATTAAGGAGTTAAAAGCCAATTCCACGCAATTGGGAACAGTTTATCTCACTGGGGGCTTGGGGCCCAAATTCAAGGACATCTCACTGTTTTTTTTTCAGTCTCTTCTTGAGGAAGAGGACTCCAGTGGGAAGGAAAGAGAATTTTCTCAACCTGTAGCCCATTCCCAAGGCTCTGAATCAAAATCTAACTTCTTCAACCTTGTTAATGTGCTGGTGGTTTGAATGGCCGGGAGAGTAAAGGGGATCAAATTTAGCTGTGTTTTACTTTCTGCTTCAGCGTAGAAACAAGAGGCAATCTCAGGCGATTGAGAAGTACCACCCTCCTGTAAATGACAACTTTTCAGACATAGAGAAAAGACAAAACATTCTCCAATCTTTGGAACGTGTTTTAAAACTCTGGGATGTTTGTTTTTCTTCCTTCACTGTGGATTTAGGGGGAATAAAATGGTTTCCTTCCTAAATTCTAGATTGATGCTCACCGACCCAATTCCTTGTGTTCCTTCCAACTCCTGTGCAGTCCATACCCTCGCTTAGTTTCAGCGAGATTTTTAAAATTGTTTCAAATAAGAGGAGATTGAGCAATGTGAATATAAAGCAGCCATAGGCAACTAGAATAACATTCTCTTCAATTTGTTCGTCTAAAATATGCAAAATCTTTCTTCCTGTAATCCTTTTCGAAAATAACTTTCTGCTGGACCTTGTTGGACTTGGAGAGGTTGTTGTGATTTTCTCTGGAAACTGGGAAAAAAAAAAAAAAAAGGTGAAAGTCTTCCAGTACTATAGCCATAGTAAAATTTGAAAATGTCAAAGTGACCGGGTACAGGGAATAGGAGGTAGCTACTGGAAGATGAGCGAGGACAAGAGCAAGGTTTCCATGCATTGGCTGGACATGCTAGTGGAGCTTGCCTCCAGCCGCTTTCCGCCCACCAACCCCCATTCCCCCCGCACAACACTGCCAAGCCCAGGCTTCTCGAAAAGGAGCAGGCTTCAGCGACGGATGCTCACGCCCAGAGATGCCCAAAGCGGAACCTCTAGGTCCAAGGAGGTACTGCGGGACTTGCGCGAAAGTGGGGTAAGGGAACCCCCGGGGCCTCACCCACCCGCCGCGCGGCGTCCCTGGCGCGATGGTTGCGTTGGCACCTGTACTCCTGCGGGCCTGGGTGGAGCCGACCCAGCAGAAAGGGTGCGCAGCAGTGGCCAGCGAGACTGGGACCTGAAGTCCCCATCTCCCGCACACAGAAGAGAGCACCGTGGCTCTTCGGATAAGGGTTTCCCCTCTTGCCCCAAAGAAAATGCTCATAGGCGGTTGTACCTATCTTCAGAAACTCCTAGGGAGGGCGCATTGGGGTGGAGGTGGGATGGATGTTCTGCTTCACCCTTGCGCCTGGATAATCAGAAGCTAAAGAAGCCGGCGGAGTTCATCCAAGAGGCAGCTTGGCCCCTAAAAAGAGGTTTGCATGGAAATGTCTACACTACAAGAGTGTCTTTAACTTTTCATTGATTACATAACTTTACATAGATTATATTGTAGTTAATTAATGAAATTGTCGAATCTCTCAAGATGGCTCACCAGTTACAAGCAGTTGGAGACACAGAGTCATTTCCCATCTATGAACTGGGCAAAACCAAAACTGCAACCCTAAAACAATTTGGCTTAAAATACTTACTTTTAAAACACAAATAGATCTTCAAGGGTTCATTTATTCACAGTCTTATAGCTTGACAATCTGTAAAGACTTTCTGTTGTATTTAAGGTGGGGAATAACTAAGGTTTGAAATCTATGCTGCCTTTTTCTTGAGTCTAGACTCTTAATGCTCCCAACCTGTTCCCTTGGTCCCCTGAGTCTGGCCCGCCACTATTCCCGTAATGCCCCTTCCACCACCTGACCCAGCCATGGAGATAGCCTTGTCTCAATGCATTCCTAAACTTATAGAACTGAAGACTCCACTGTTACACCTCCCTTTCCAGAGGGCTTGGTGGGGGGTAGGCTTGAGGAGGATGGGGAGAGTCGCAGGAAGGAGGGCGAAGCCAGCAGAGCTCTCGGGGAGGGCCTGAGAGGCAAAGGGGTGAAGGTTTTATAGTTGGAGTGTACATATTTCCAGCTCTCCAAAATGAAACATACCATCGCAGCTGGTATTACCGGCTGAATAGGCAGCAAAAGACTTCTCTCTGTGCGGGTCCTAGCGTGCTGCTGCTTAGCGCCAACGAGTCCTTGTCCCCAAAGTTGCCAAAACTTTAAGGGACGCCGGCCAAGGAGTCCCCAGCATGGAAAGCCAGGCGTCCGGGGCCGGGTAAAGCCTCCTGGACTCCTCGAAAGCAGATCACACCTGGAGCAGCCGGAGGCGGGGCGAGATCTATGCGAAGTTAACGGGTTCGGGTGAAGAACATCAAAGAGAAAGGAGCAGGATCGAACTTTAGAGGGACTGAAGGGCATGGCCCAAGAGAGCAGAATTGGGCTGTGGGACAGGCGGCGGGAGGACCAGGTTAGAGGGAGCGAAAGGAAGTGGATTAGAGGACAGCGGTTACAGGTTTCAGTCACTGCCATTTCCCCGCAGAGGGAGCTGCTCCATGCCCTGGAGAAGTATCCGGACTCCCACATCCTGTCTGCAACCACCCGACTCCCTAGGGGATTCCAAGGGACAGCACCGTCCTCCCCACAAATCATCAGGAACCGAAAGCAGAGAACTTGCCCTACCTGGGCACTTCTGGAAGCGCCCACTCAACTCTACAGTATGAGACAAAGGCTATCCTAAGAGACCTTTCTCCAACTTTCTTTCTCTGCATGTATGAGCCCGGATCCCTCTGTCCCCGCCGCCTTCTCTCTCTCTCTTTCTCTCTGTCTCCTATTTTGTCCTGGGAGATTCCTACTCGCGGTGCGAAGCCTCGGATCCACTGAGAACCGCATAGTCTCCTGCACCCTTGGCCTCATGCTTGTCGGAGGGGGGCCCCGGGAAACACACCGGCTGCCCCTCCAACAGGCGTCCCTGGCTCCCCATTGGCCCCCTGGTCCCCGCCCCCCACCACCCCCTCCCGCTCCGCAGCCCCCGAGTGGCGTCAGCACGCCCGCCGGGCGTGGGCTTTAAATGCCCACCAGCGGGAGCTCAGGCGCTTCTGCCCTGGAGCGCGGTCTGTAGTAAAATCGCAGTAGTGGGAGGGGAGTGAGCCAGCGGGATTTCGAGCCGCGGAGCGCGCTGACCTCGCTCCGCCTGATGACTCCGGAGCTCAGGTCCAAGCACCGCCCATGCAGCACCCCTGAGCTCCGGGGAAGGAGAGTTAATGAAAAAACACTTAACCTTCTCCGCTGCGGAGAGTCATGAGCTGTCTGGATGTTATGTACCAAGTCTATGGTCCTCCGCAGCCCTACTTCGCAGCCGCCTACACCCCCTACCACCAGGTACGTGTCTCCTCCGGGGATTTTGGGGAGGAGTGGCGCGCCCCTGGCTTGCGGCGGCACGGCCTATACGGGAAGGTCCGCTGCGCCTCCGCGCGTCTCGGGCGTCCGACCAGGGCGGGCGCGGCCGGGATGCGGGGATTGCCGGAGCCGCCCCCAGTTGGTAGTGCAATTAGCTAACCCCTTTAGCTCGCCTGTTTGCTCTCGGGAAGCAGCTAAGCCCTGCTAATGTGAGCCTAGGTCTTCCCTGGAATAATCAGAGGAAGATGGCACGGGCTGGATTTTCTTCTTAGGGTCTGTCGGACTCCAGATTCTTCCAAGCCAGGTGCAGGTACCAGGAAATGCAGGCAAAGCCGACGCAAGGAAAACCAAACTTTGGTCCCAATGGTGAAAGTAACAACAAAACCAAAAACAAAGGTCAGCCTCTTTCTGAGATGCAAGGGCCAGTGTTCTCATCCTTGCAAGTTCGTCTCAGGAATAATTTCTTCCGTTTCAATTCTCTGGAGACCAGGGCAATTAATTCCAGATCCAGCGAATTCGTTTCAAAGAGCACCACGCAGTTTTATAATTTTTCCTTTGCGAAGTTCTGGGAGTATTTTCCGGAGTGCGATTAACCCAGCAGAGGCGAGCTTGATAGACAATACTTTGCCTTTCTCCAGCCTGAGTAGCTGAATGGGGAAGTCCTGCTCCCAACTAACACTTTAAGAAGACCACTCAACCCGGCTTCTGCAAACTCTTCAAGTTCCATTTAATTCTGCCAATTTCTCTTTTCTTCAGGCAGCGTCTGTTTGAACCATTTTCCTTCCATTTCCTCAGCTGAGGTAGCAGAAACTGAGGACAGTAGTGTAGGAAAAGAATGAAATCATACACCTGGGAGGCAGTAGGGGGTCCCCTCAGGGTTGGAAACCTACTTTGGGGAAATTGAAATACACCCCAATGCCCCAGTGGATGCTTTTGCTAATTTTGTCTGCAAATTTAGAATGTCTATTCGGAAATTTCCTGATGAATTAATGATGGACCGGGTAGGGCTTTTTTTTTTTTTTTTTTTTTTTAACCTCCTCTTCTCCTCTTTTAAACTTCACAACTTGCAGTTTGTTTTGCCTCCGTGTTAATTTTAGGAATCAGCAGAGTTACTCATTGTAGGGGAAGATGGCATTTAGGAAGTGGTGATATTGCTAAATCTTACATCGTTTTGGCCCCAAATAACTCAAACGTTTTGGCTCCAGCTTCTGAAATGTACTTCTTCCCAGGGTGGGACTATGGCAAGCCAAGAGGAGAGAGGTGGATTGGTTTTCTGACTGGCCCTTTCTCCTCCCAGACCCTGAACCAATCTATTGCATGAAGATCTCTGTTCATTTTTGTATGATTCGGGCCGCCTCTTCAAGGCCATCTCTGCCTGCAGAATGTTTTAACACTTCTTTCAGTCCGTTGCTCGTTTCTAAGAAAATGTTCACAGAAGCTGCGCTTGCTTTTTAAAATCACTATCAGACCTGACGATTTACACCACCTCACAGCCAGGATCTTAACTTTCTTCTGTCTGCTCCTTTTTATCATTTCCTCAATGTGTATGGAGATGATGGGGTGGAAATACTCATAATCCACTGGTCTTTCCTTATTAAAGAGAAGATCTGTTTAAAAACTGATGTAGGGGTAATCAAACAAATATCAACTTGCATTTATTAAAATGACCCGTATTTCCCCAGTCATGTTACCCCAGATTTTTATCCCACACAATTCATTACTAAATGTAAAATTTCTTCCTTTATATTTCTGGTTGCCTTCCTTCACACATCCGCAGTTGCAGGGAGTGGATTTTGTCGGGGTAGGGGGTTGCCCCCGCTCCTATTTCCTCAGGAGGATGTTTATCCTGTATCCTGTGCTCCTGCCCTGGATTCTCAGGCACGGAACAGTCAGGTTCTAACTGGACTTGGGTGCCCTTTACCCTTGGAGTCTGATTTTAAAAATATATCTGCCCTGAGCCCAGCTATGTGGTCAAACTCAGCTCCAAACCTATCTGCTTAGGCGTCTCCTGAGACCTTCACCCAGACATTTTAGGAGAAATTTTCCAGGAGTCAGAGGGACCAAGGACAGCAATCTTCCTTTAAGGAAGCTCGCCCTTGCTTGGGTGCAGGTTGGGAGGCCTGCTAACTAAGTTGCCCCACTATTGCTAGTTTTATGCGAACAGCACAAGGCTTAGGCCCATATGCCAGTTTCCCCATGAATACCTTAGGGATTAGGTTGAGGGAGTTAGTCTGAACTGAATTTGCCATCGCTTTTGAAACTGACATCTCTGTTCATTCTCTCTCTGAACAGAAACTAGCCTATTACTCCAAAATGCAGGAAGCCCAGGAGTGCAATGCCAGCCCCAGCAGCAGTGGCAGCGGCAGCTCCTCATTTTCCAGCCAAACCCCAGCCAGTATAAAAGAGGAAGAAGGCAGCCCAGAGAAAGAGCGCCCACCAGAGGCAGAGTACATCAACTCCCGCTGCGTCCTCTTCACTTATTTCCAGGGGGACATCAGCTCCGTGGTAGATGAACATTTCAGCAGGGCCCTGAGTCAACCCAGCAGCTACTCTCCCAGCTGTACCAGCAGCAAAACACCAAGGAGTTCTGGGCCCTGGCGAGGTGAGTATGGGGCCCTGCTGGGAACGACCCATAGAGGGTCCTTTCAGCCTGGGGTTCACCTACAGGAGCCTAAAGATATGCAGCTGAAAGAATATTAGGTGTCAGCGAAGGTGTGCAGAGGAGCATTTGGAAAGGGTAAGGAAAACGCAGGGGTAAAGGGCATGGGTATAAGAAAAAAACTCCTTGAAAAAAACACTATGCTTGGAATTGGAAGACCTAGGTTTGTGTGTTGGTTCCACCACTTCCTAGCAATATAACCTTGGACAAGTCTTTTAACCTCTTTGAGGTCACTTTATTTACTGCTTTCTTAAATTAGAATAACACCCTCCTAACGATCCCCAGAGAAGGCTGTAAGACCAACAAGAAAATGGATGTAAATATGCTGTCAAAAATGTGAGGTTTCCAGCACCCTCCCAAACCAGTGAGCAAAGGAGCTTCATCGCCAAGAACACTTTCCCAATTTGCAAACATTTTCCCAGAGGAAACAGTTCTAGAGCTCCATACAGACAAAACCTGCTTGAGAATGTCTCCAAAAACCTACCTTTGCCTTTCACCAGGCTCCAATTACTTAAGAACTCTTGAAGCAGAAGCGTCTCAATAGCAAGTAAAATAACAAAGAAACAAAAATTTAGATACAGCCAAAACACTTCTAAGAGTTTTCCCAAAATACATCCCCTTTTTATTTTTCTACCTTCCCCCACAAAACACTGCTTTTTCTACCCTAGGACAATTATTTGTTGGACAACTCAACTAAATCTCCCTTCTATTCTGAAATCTCAACTTCCCTTTATTACCAACAAGACAAAGTGGGGGAACCATTAAGTAAACTTGGCTCACTAAGCGGTATTTGATGTGTACCAAGGGGAGAAAGGAGGACTTTGTTGTAAAAACCAAAACATTTTCATTTGTCTTTGGGAGGGAAATGACAACCTTCACCCTCTTTTTTTTCCTTAGGAGACTCTGGCAGTTTGCATAAGCCTTGCCCTTAGACAAGATCCAAAAAACATTCATTTTAAATACAGAACATTCTTTTTATTCTCTGTCTAAATATGTTTAACAGGAAGATTCTTCACCACTTAGAATGCATTTTCAAACCTTAAATTCTCTAGTATATAGTGCAGATGCCTTCTACAGAGGAGGTGTACCATAAAGGCTCCATGAATTACATATCTGTCTTTCTCTCCCTTCTTACTAATGGCAACAAATTTGATCTAAATGCTGTTCTCTTAAAATGCTATCACGGGCTAGGAACCAACAGTGAAACTGACAATAGTAATAATGATTATTATTATCCCTGGCGTCCTTGCTTTGATGCAGAAAGTTAATGAAAACTTAGGATAAAAGACCTGTCTATTCGTGTCCTTCTGTGCAAATAATAGAGCTGCCCTTTAAGGTGACTAGTTTACTCTTTTGCTTGAGTTCTTGGAGAAAAATATTTGAAAGAAGGTTTCTAGAAAGAAAACTAATAATAGCAGGACTTCAAAATATGTCGATGGACTTTCAGTCTGTCAGAGACGTTGTCGGGGGTCACATTTTCCGGAGCAAGACGGCTGAAACGCGAGAGGGGTAGTGAGATCACTAGGCGGCCGACCAAGAGTGGGAAGAGGTCTCTTTAGCTTGAGGAGACGTTGAGGCTGGGAAAGGGAGACCGTGTCTGCGCTGAGCCTCGGGAAGCTCCTTGAGCTTCAAGGACTTGAGTCCGGGAAGGAATCTCTCCTCTGTTACTACTCTCCCCGCCGCTTGGTTTCCGCACTGAGGACCAGGCTGCGAAATGGGAGAAAGCAGGCCTCCTCCGCAGAGGGTTCCCAGAAGCCCCCATTTTGCAGTTCCCCCATCTCGCTTTCACAGGCTGCAGCCCCCTTAGAAAAATGCCGCTGCAGAGGCGGGGGCGGCCCATCCGCCCCCGACCATGGCTAGCTAGCCCTGTGCCCGCCTGGCGCCTTCGGCTCTCGGGCGGGGCGTGCAGGTCGGCCCTGATTCCAGCAGCAGTGACACGCACCTCTCTTCCTTTCCTCCAATCCGCCTCCCCGGCCTACAGACTGCTCCTTCCCGATGAGCCAGCGCAGCTTCCCTGCCTCCTTCTGGAACAGCGCGTACCAGGCGCCGGTGCCCGCGCCGCTGGGTAGCCCTCTGGCCACCGCGCACTCGGAGCTGCCCTTCGCCGCCGCCGACCCCTACTCGCCCGCCGCGCTGCATGGCCACCTGCACCAGGGCGCCACCGAGCCCTGGCACCACGCGCACCCGCACCACGCGCACCCGCATCACCCCTACGCCCTGGGCGGCGCCCTCGGCGCCCAGGCCGCCCCCTACCCGCGCCCCGCCGCGGTGCACGAAGTCTACGCGCCGCACTTCGACCCGCGCTATGGGCCGCTACTGATGCCAGCCGCCTCTGGGCGCCCGACCCGCCTCGCACCCGCCCCAGCGCCCGCGCCCGGTAGTCCTCCCTGCGAGCTCTCCGGCAAGGGCGAGCCGGCGGGCGCCGCGTGGGCCGGGCCCGGGGGGCCCTTCTCGAGCTCCTCGGGAGACGTGGCCCAGGGTCTGGGCCTCAGCGTGGACTCAGGTAAGCAGAGGAAGAAGTTTGGTCTCCGCGGAGCCCCTCGGCCCCGTACCCGACCCTGGGCTGTACCTAGACCCCCTTAATCCTCCTTGGACACCTTTAATTCTGTGACTCAAGGATCTACATGCCACGGTCGTGTTTCCACTGATAGATGGCCGTGTGCCATGCGTGTAGTAGGACCCTACCCTAACCTGGCTGGTAAATGCTACAGAGGACTTTTAAAATAATAATAATAATAATAATAATAATAATAATAAAATTTAGTGGAAAAGTTCTAGCTCTGCGCTGTTCAATACTGTAGCCGCTAGCCACGTGGGGCTACTGAGCACTTGGCACGTGGTGAGGCCGAATTAAGATGTGCTGTCAGTGTATGATACACACTGGATTTCCAAATCTTCGTGCAGAAAGAGAATGTAAGCTTCATCTCGTTAATACTTTTATATTGATTACATGTTGAAATATTTTCGACACATTGCATATCGATTATAAAAATTAATTTTCATCTCTTTCTTTTTACTTTTTTCCCAATTGTGGCTACTAGAATATTTAGAATTATGCTTATGGCTCCCGTTGCATTTCTATTGGACAGCGCTGATCTAGAATAGCTGCTGAGAGTACAATTTAAAATCTTCTGTGTCTTGGGGGATCTTGTCACGTAGTGACAGTTGTAAGGAAAGAAAAATGCGATACTGATATCAAGTTAATTGCCAAATAAAATAGATCTCTTAAAAATGTAAATCTTAAAGAATATTTTTAAATGACAATCCTAAATCTTTGGCTTAAAGTATTTGAAACGTACAGTCTAATAAGGGTTTGCTTTTTTGCTGTCTTGTCTTATTTTTAGGGCAAATGAAAGAAATAGTTATATAATAAGTGAGATCGCTGGGTTTATAGTCTGCCCACTGCCCCTTTCCTCAAGTGATTTGAGTTTTCTGTTTGCTTTGCTTTTACTTTCAGTCACCCACCCCCGCCCCGCCCCCAACTTTAGGTGAAGTCTGTGACTTTCACAGTAAAACCGTGGTGTTTTGTCTTTCTTTCCTTAAATATCTTGTGCCTTCCCTCCCCCATTCCTTCTTTCTCCCTCCCTTTCTCTTCCTCCTCCTCCTCCTCCTCTTCTTCTTCTTCTTCCCTCCTCCTCCTCCTTCTTCTTCCTCTCTCTCTCTTTCTCTCTCTCTCTCTCTCTCTCCCTCCCCTTCCCTCCCTCTCCACCTCGTCTCTCTATCTTCTCTCTATTTTCAGGTTTGCAGCCTCAGGACAAAAGCAAGGATGTGTACTGGTTTTAGACCGCCCACCTTCTTCCCTGTAGGTCTCTGCATAGTGCAATTGATGGCACTCAGAGCTGAAATGGAGTGGGTTTGTAACAGCTTCTGATCTTGGTTTGCAGCTCGTCGTTATTCCCTCTGTGGTGCATCCCTCCTGAGCTGATCTGCTGACCCAGAGTTTCCCCTTCCCCTTCCCTTCTGACCAGCCTTGGAGGCTCAGCATCTGTGCCTCTCACTCCGTGGATGAGGACATGGGGGAAGGCAGAGACTTCAGACTTCTCAGTGTATTGGGAAAACCAAAAACCACAATTACAGAAATTCATCTAAAAATAAGTCCTGCTGCAGAAAGAGCAAATCCAAAGACTCCGAGTTATGTTTAATGACTTTTGGCCGAATCACTGGAAATATCTGTGGTGAGATTGCTGAGTCAGGTGATATGATATCATAAGCTTTCTTGGAAAGGGGGAAAGAAAATGAAACTTTTTGGTGTGAATATTTTTTATGCTGATGTGAATTATTTGGTTAGGTAGTGTGATTGTAGCACTACTACTGTCAGGTTTTAAATTGTATGTGTACTTGCATTTAAGACTGTGGTAGAGAAGTAAAGAGAAGTCAATTCCTTCTTCCTCACCTCTCAGCCTCCAGATCCCTTCCTGCCCATCCCTTCCCTACAATGCCGACTCCAGACGCAAAGATACATTTTTTTCCTTTGGACTGTGAACATGGAAGCCTCAGCCTGAATGTGAGTGGCAAGTGGCTTATCTGGAACCACCTGCCCAAGTCTTACTAAAATGCAGCTGTTGTTAGACAACTGTTTAAAACTCCAGAAATACATCACCCAAGGTGGCACTTCTCCGTATTTGGCAGAACAATTGCAATTGCACTGGATATATTTTTTATATATATATATATATATATATATATATATATATATGTATGCATATATATCATGTTTTTTACAAGGAACATTTTACGATGAAAGAAGAAACACTTCTCTGCCTTCTCTCCCACGAATTCTGTCCCTGTATCCTCTGGATGTAAAAAGCGAGGAAAGACCCCAACTGTCTCCATGGAGAAGAACTAGGAATCACCACAAGGGGACGAAATGTACATGAAGTCTCCATTACCTCGAATTTTTTTCTCAGCCTCTCTGGTTGCGATTTGGTCACTTTAGTGTTGGGGCAGGGGAAAGGGTCTGTGCGTGGGCAAAGCTGAAGGTGATAAGGAAGAAGAGATGAACATTAAAGATGTCTATTTACTATGAGTTCACTGTGTTGTTTCATAAAAAGAAAATAAATAACTTAGTTTTTTTCTAGTAGAATAAAATAACACAGTAGTATGATTTGATGTCAGTAGTATTACATATGTATAGATATAGATAGATGTAGATAGATAGATAGATCTTTACGTGTTTCCATCGTGTTTGCTGTGCTATGAATATGTTAGCTGTTCCCATCTCACATCAACCTTGGAGAATGAGAAGTTAGGTACCCCTGTCTGTTTTACAGATAAGAAAATTGTGGCCTACAGAGGCCAAGGGCTTGCCTGTTAGCATTCAGAAGTTAGAAGCAAAGATGGTACAAAAAGCACTACCTGTAGACCATTCAGTCAAGTACAGATTTATTATTTTCCAGAAAAGAATTATTGTTACATGTTTAATTCTAGACTCAAGACAGTAGAGTCATCAGTTAAAAGTGTTTTTGAAATATTGGCTATTTTATATTTTAATAAACTAGGCTAAGAAACCAAATCTCTCACTAGGCAAAGAAGATGCTTAAGAAAGAAACTGGTAGTTTTTCTCCTTGTTTCCTCTTGATGCCAAAGTTCGTTCTGTTCTTTCACAAAAGTGTCTGGTAGAGAGGTTTTGTGTGCTGCTCAAATTGCCCTTGTACCTCGTTAATGCATAAAAATATTAGTCCAAATCTTGATCTTCATTATAACATGAGAGGCAAATATAATTTATCTTGGATAAGTCTCAAGAATTGGAAGCAGTTAAGGGATCTAACTCACAGCATGAGCTTGGCAGAGCTCCCCATACCCTCTTTCTGTCATTTGGCTACCTGTGAAGTACACATGATCATTCCAGAAATATGGTTTGCACTCTGATGGAAGATACTCTATGATTACGTACATCACATGTGAAAGCAATAATCATAACTAATGTTAATTGTTTATCATGCACTGGGCACTGATCTCTAGAGATTAACTCATTTAAACCTCACAACAATTCTATATGGTATTTATTGTGATGTTCTCCTTCTTACCTATTAGAAAACTAAGGCACACAGAGGAGAAATAATTTGCCTAGTTATGAAGCTCATCAGTGGCAAAGTTAGGCTGAAAACCCGGGTAGCCCTCATGCAGGGCTGCACTGTTATTCACTGCATGACTGCTTGTCTAATTCTGATTTGTCTCTTTGCTTTTCAATGTTGGGCTTATTTTCTCCACAATAGATGTATAAAGAAAGGAAAAAAGTCAGAGAAGCACAGATTGATGATGCTTTGGTAGAACTTACAGAATCCCAATTCTCAAAAGAACTGTCATAAGGCATTGTCCAAACTCCATCAAATGACACTACTTAGACTATTCAGTAAGGTACAGCTCTCTACTCTCCAGGAGGGAATTATTATTGCTTCTCTTATTCACTTCAGTGTTTAACAGCCTTCACCACTCTGAAATTCTTCACACCCAACCTGATCAAGCTGTGTAAGAGTTAGCCTGAGGTTTGGACATTGAAGCAATGACTAAAATTAACTTTGGACTTCTCTGTGGATTTTTTTAATCCATGTTCCACTGGCATGAATCCCTGGTATATACAAGTGTAAATAAAATGCATTAAGTCCCAGTGCGCTTTTCAGAATTTCCTACTAAATATACTGTTGAAGAAAGCATGACAGTGCGTTATCTGCTGGACACCTCCATGTATTCCCCATTGGAAGAGGCTGTTTACCTGTACCCCACCTGCGTTAACACTCACAAGATCTGTGATCAGAACCCACAGGGAACATTTTCCCACCCACAAGGTTCTGATTACTGAAACTTCTCTCCTAAGCTACATCTGACCCGAATATCAGGTTGCTGGTGAGGAGACTCATTCACTGGAACTGGCCTTTGGGGCGGTCCTGAACAGACCGTCCAGACTGCTGAGCCAGTCCAGGCTCCAGCGACCTGGCACGTATGACACACGAACCACAGCTTTTTCTCCATTCCACACCTTCATAAGGTAGAAATGCAAGATGACCTAGATCCATAATGATTCGGTTCTGTGTAATAAGAGCATCAAAGAGAACTTTGGAGAAATGGTAGCCCCAACTGACATTCTTCGGGCTTACTTCAAGTCACACAAAATGTGAACTCTCATACCTGTCTTGTTAATAGTAGTCAAACCATGCAGATTCGATAACGTTCCAGCAGTTGAAAAAAGGACATTCAAGGAAACGAGGGATGGCATAAGGAAAGGCAAACATGACTTTTTTACATATGTTATACCTGGTCAGGGGGCTCAGAGAAAGGTTACATTCTCCTCTAATCACCCCCTTTGGCACTAGTGTCCTCCTTGCCCACAGCTTTCTCTTTGCACTTGGCCTTGGTCGAAGGAGAGGTGATGAAAAGGAAAGAGACGGCTCTCCACCACCAAGTAATCCTTTTGCCGATTGCCCTCTGGCTGAGAATTTGGTCACCCAGCTACAGGGAATTCTATCTGTTCTATTCCTTCAGTGTAAAAAGAGTTGCTATCCCGTCTCATTTCCCCTTTGAAGTTCTATTTAAATGCATGGCAAATTCTAGCAATATCTTAAGATTGATTTGGGTCTGGATGGGAGATGGCGGATGTTGAGACTCAGAAACCCTGCTGAGCACTTCTGTTTTCGCTCTTTCTGGGTAAGTACTGTATTTTCTGTGCCCTTCTACATCTGGAAAAAACAACTCTTCAGGTAACTTTAATTTTCATTTTGCTTAGAATCAAAAAGCCTGCATTTCTGTGCAGGCGTGCACATATTCTGTCAAAATAAAGAACTTTTTTAAGCACTTAGTGATCAATTACTTTGGAGTTGGAGGGGATAAAAAATAAATAGAATTAAACAAACTGCTTTCATGTAAATGCTATGTCCATACATTGAATTTATTAATGTAATTAATTAGGATGTCATCTAAGCATGGAAGAAAAATGGAAAGATATGTGAAAATACTTTAAAAATAAATGAAACTGAAAAACCTAAGATCACTTTGTAAAATTGCTTTAACAGTTTGTTGACAATTCGCATGCAAATAGTTCACATTTTTATGGTACTCGCCAAGCTGTTTTCTCTGTATATTTCATTTTTTCTTACTAGATTTTTAGGATTTATTATATATTCCTAAAATCTGGAGTAAAGGAATAAATATAAAACAGTATCATTATTACCATTGCTGTCTGTATGTAACTGAAATTGTGACATTTATAAAAGCAGCAGGGTTAAGCAAACATAAATTTCACATTTCCTAAACACCAACTTTTGCTTATTGCCTATAAATATAAAGCTTTAGTAATACAAATATGGTGTCTGCACAATAGAATCTATCCACAAATACACACACACATGCGCGCGCGCGTGCACACACACACACACACACACACACACACACACACATACACACAGATGCAGACCTAAAGAGAAATCAGAGACATTATGCCCTCAGACAGGCACAGGCACAAATGATTATTCTCACTTGACAGACCAACTGTACTGCTCTTTCCTTGTATTTCACTCCAGCCCCAGAGGGCTGGATCAGGAAAGAGACACTTGATAGCTGCTGTTTCCGTGGTTGAAATATTTGTGAAGTTAACGCATAATCTGAAAGCAGAAGCTAATAAATTATAGGGTGCTAATTGGAGCTAGAATGGAGCTGTCAATCATGTTATCCTAAACACAGAGAGACCCTCATAACCTAAAAAGGCAATGTAGCCTCCAAAAACAGCTCCCATTTGTTTCCAGCCATGACCTCCAAATATCACGTCCAGGCAAGGAGCGGCCACTGACAAGTGTCAGCAGAGGTGATTCTGCTAATCCAAGTTGACTTTAAGAGACAGGCAAATTTTCTTTTCTAGGGAAAAGAGTAAGATATTTTGCTGAATAATTAATTTTTAATCTTTAGAGAAATACATACATTATGTGTGTGTGTGTGTATATATGTGTATATATATCCACACCTTATTAGAATGTGTGTCTATATATGTACCTTTCTAGAATAATTATTACTTTGGTAAAGCATGTGACCCTTCATTTGGAATTTTTCACTTTAAAATTACTGAGTTAACTCAGTAGGAGAAAACCTGAAGTTCTCCACAACACAGTGTCAGATCTACCTCAAATTGTAGTATTTCTGTGAGTTTCTGGTGTATTCTTGTGAAACTAAGCTCCTCTAAAACAAAAATGGAGACATCCGAATTTGCACTGTCTTACTGGAATTCAGTTATTTCATTTAGAAAAGCAGCAGCAGCATGTTTCCCATTCCTTTGTTTTGTCCTTAGACTCAGTAAGCTTTACTTCTGCTTATCTCCAAGTGTTTCAAAATGGCTAC